GTGCAAAAAATCATGGCAATCTTTTATAAATGGTTTATAAAACTACAGTTAATCTGGTTCTCCATGTGAGCACATTAGGCTCCATCCATCCATCCATCCATCCATCTTCCGTAACTGCTTGTCCTTTTCAGGGTTGCAGGGGGTCCGGAGCCTATGGGCACAAGGGAGGGAACAACCCAGGATGGGGTGCAAACCCATCACAGAGCACACTCACACACACAGCTACAGGCTTTTTGGTAACTCCAATTAACCTAAGCATGTTTTTGAACTGTGGGGGGAAACCGCAGTTGCTGGACTTCACACACATGGAACCCTGGCGGAAGACCTGAACCCAGGTCACAGAGGTGTGAGGCAACAGTACTAACCACTACACCTCCACACTGCCCCCACATTAGGCATTATTTATAAAATCTGTTGAACTAAGGCACAACTTAGATGAACACTAACATTAAACATTTTTAACAGCTACTGGCTCACTTCATATTTAAGAAAGCTCATAAATTACAGATAGTTAAGGACAGCCAATCTAGAGTGACAGGAGGCGACAAACAAATCCAAGCATTGTGGGCCACCGTTGAAGACGAACACCGCGCCTCTCTGGCCATTTCTCACCCCTCCCTAAAGACAGATCGGCTGTACAGGTTCCTGGCTGAAAGCATGAATGACAGTGACCCCCAATCCCACCATCACAAAGACCCACTGACACCCGTCGCAAGGGGAACATACGGTCAAAACATAAAGAGGGAGAGATGGGGAGGAGCAGGGGAGATGCACTCGGCTGACAAGTTCTGTAAAGAAAATGGTATTTTACTGTTTAACAAGATTCGGCAGGTCCCACATGTCCTAACCCTAATGCAAACATAAATTACTGCCATGTGAAAAAAGGCATTAGAATGCACTACCGCAGAACCTGACTTATAAAATTATAAAATGCATACAAAATGACAAATATATAAGACAGAGGCAATAATGCATGTTTTTATGCATTTTGAAGACAGATACACTATATGGCCAAAAGTAGGTGGACAACTCCTGTTAATTAGAGGAATTGCCAAATTAACCCATATCCATTGCTGACACAAATGTATAACATTAGCAGCAGAAGGGGTGGTCACACAGAAGAGGATAGTGACCTCCACTTTCCATAAGATGCCATTTAATTCCAATAAGTTATTTCACCACATTTCTGCCCTGCTAGAGCTGTCCCGGTCAAACACAAGTGAAGTAACTGTGAAGTATCTGGGACCAGGTTCAGTGGTACCACACAAGCTCAAAGAAAGGGACCTGAACACCCAACATCAAAACCCGAATACCAGCAAATCCCAGCAGAGGGAAAGCTTTCTCAGAAAAACAAAGGCTATTATAGCAACAATAGGCTGACCAATTTCGATACCCATGGTTTCAGAATGAGATGTTGAACAGGCCGGTTTCCTCATATTTTTGACCATATAGTGTAATTAACACA